TAAACCCTAAACCCTAAGCCTAGATCTGAACCCCAAGCCAAACTGCCAACCCAAGCCTACTGAACAGCATGATCTCATTGCCAGGCCTTGGGTGCTTCTTCGAGTCGGTACTGACCAAGGACGCTTTCCCCAAGGGTCCAAGAATAGTGGGGTTTACCCAAAGGCCCCATAGTAGTTCCTTCTTGGGATTACCTTATAGGATTCTAAATATGAACCCCCAAAAGGAACTACTATGGGGCCTACGGGTAGGGTTTAGGGTATTAATAATAGTAGCTACTTTTTGGGGCCCAAATATCTACTAAGTAGCTGCGATATTGGCACTTCATAGCGATCCCCTTTGAAACTGAAACTGAACCCAAGCGGAAACTGCCCCCCCTCCCCCGGGGTACGCTCTGTGGTACTTGGAGCCTTTGGGCATGTTGTAGAGGTCAGGCTAGGGCTCAACCAGGAGACTCCAATATCCCTTAACTAAGGAATATACCTTAAACTCTTCTAGGATCCCTAGTATGATTTACGGCATATTCCTTAATTAAGGGATATTGGAGTCTCTGGGAACTAGACGTAGGGTGCTTCGGCCCTCTGTCCCGTTACACGCAAAGCCAGTGTACCTCGCCCCAAGACCCTACACCTCCCTTTCGAAATGTGCCAACCCAGTTCATTGTGATATGATATCTCTTAAGTACTATACAACAATATATGCTAGAATGTTTTTTAAACCCAGTCTTAAACCCAACACCACAGATCCCAATCCAAAGCCAATCTGGACGACGTGGAGCAGTGCCCTCAAGGCCTTGTTCAACAGGTATCTAGGTATGAAAATGTGCACATATGCACAGGTACATATATATATATATATACATATACATATACATATATATATATATAAGTACACACATATATATATATATATAACATAATTTTCTATTATATATATATATACAATGTAACGGAGTCATGGGGACTGTAAGGTTTATGCAGACCTGGAGAAAACAGTAACTCCAAGGGTGATAGGAGCTTTGGGCAAGCGTTCAGCCCTGGAAGGACGGCAAGCCGCAGGCGAGGAACGTCAAGGTTCCCCTTCGAGCGGGCTTGGGCTAGGGACTAGGGTGTATGCAGGTTTAGGGTCCAATATAGTGTTCAGGCTAAGTGAGCACAAACATTTCCGCACATGTCTCCAAAACGTCAAGTATCCTAATTAAGCTAAACCCTTGTCGGTGTGTAAAGCTGCGGTGGTTCAGGGTTTCCGGGACTGGAAGTTCAACCAAGACACGCAGAACGCTGAGCATTGTTTAGATGTATGTGTGTATACGTACGTGTGTATGTATATATATATATATATATCTGTATATTTCTTGACACGCAAAAGTGCGTTTATGCATAGATGAACGGATTGGTGGACGGATGTATGTATGGATGTACATGTGGATATATGTATGCATGCATATATGTACATCAACATGCAGGTATGTATGTAAGCCCTACCCAAGTCATCAGGCTTGCAGGGTCTAAAGTTACATATATATGTGTATATGTATGTATATGTATATATATATATATATGTATACATATATAGTTGTTCCTTCAACCCCACCAGCTTGATAAATCGGTCGTATTCCCCATACAACCCGGTGGTTCGAGCCATGGAGACAGCAGTGGCGCCAGGTGCTTGGTGGTGACGGAGCCAACATGCTGGGTTCTGTCAAGCCGCCGTGCAGCACTGACAAAACCAGCATAAAGGGCCGAATACCTATTGAATAAGATGTTCCTCAGGGTTCATTATCTGAAGCAACCAAAAATGACATCGTTTTGTTTTCAAGGGCCCTATACTCAGTTTTCATAGCCAACAAAAAGTCAAAAAAGCACTGTCCTGGTGTTTCGGGCCAAACCCTATACCCTAAACCCTAGACCCTACACCCTAAACCCTAAACCCTAAACACCAAACCCTATATTGTGGGCGCGTTTGAAGCTCCTGGGCCGGCTTCCAACCGTGGTAAACGGGAGTACTGCTATTATCGGTTTCAGTGCTTTAGGATTCTAAGGCTCAGAGGTTTAGGGTTTTATTAAGATTTATACGGCTTCATCAAGGTCTTATAAAGGCTCCTAAACCCTCAAACCTGTATCCTTTACAGGCCTACCATATGAAACGCCGGCCCACCCTAAGTCCTAAGCCTACAGTAGGGTTTAGGGATGTCGGATGTCTCAACAATACGGAGTTGGGGTCGTGTGAGTCAGGATGTTTCAACACTGAAAATTTGAGAACAGGGACCCGACATATAGACCCCAAGTAGCAGGATCCTTATGCAGGCTTTGGGGTTCGGGTTTAGGGTTTAGGGTTTATGCAGTGCGCCACCAATGTTAAGTGTTCCCACAAATCTTGAAGCTTAAACAGAATCCTTGAATCTGATAAGTGTTCCCACAAATCGTGCAGCCTAAACAGAATCCTTGAATCCGAAGACCTGCTTTGAAGCGGGAAGTGAACTTCTAGCAGCTTGATCTAAGGTTTTGTAAAGAACCTCAGGCCGGTTTGCTTAACATATCGATTCCCTTACAAGGATCCATGTGCCCAAATATCATATACTTTGGCCTCAAGCTATTCCTTTTATAGGTACTTTGGAGGGCACAGTGTATACTAATTGGGCACACGGACCCTTACCGCTTCAAGGCAACCCTAGGACTCTAAGGACTCATATTTTAAGGCTTTTGGGCCCAAAGACTCTATTATATAAGGCTTTTGGGCTGTTTTGATGCTAAGGGCAAGAGCCTTTGGGTGTCCGTTGGTTTGGGGAACTCGGCTGATGTTTGCTGGCCTGGATTCTTGCGGGTTCACGTGGGGCAGAAGCCAAAGGCTCCATGTACCTTTATAGTAGATACTTAAGCCTTAAAGGGGTCCCTATATAGGTACTTTAGGGTCTAAGTATATACTATATGGGTACATGGAGCCTTCGGGGAAGCCTACCAAGCCCCCTCCCCTCCCCGGCCATATACTTGCACCCGGAATTAAACTCAGGGCTACCAGAACCACTGTTGCTTGGGGTACATCGGATAAGCCCCAAAATCCGCGATGGCCAGAACTTGCGCCTTTGTTGGGCCGGGTTTGTATCAGCAAGGCGCCCTTGACCACAGGTAAGCCTGTAAGCCTTAAGCCCGTCACGTGAAGATGCAGCCCCACTTAAAAAGTTGGATGATATGAAATTGTTTAATATGTCCAATGTAGGGTTGTGGGGCTCCATATTATAGCTATAGCACCCTTGCTAAAGACTGTTACTGTATGGAGGGTAGTACCCAACATACGGCTGATGATATACATCCGGCATTACCCATAAATAAGGAATTTGCTATAATTTCCCATAATTTCGGGCCCTCAAGGTCTCCATGCCCAGCCCTCCCTTCCCCGCCCTGCTCAGCCCAACCCGATGCAGGATTTATATCATCAACAGTGTGGCTCTGAGGTTGCCAGGTTTCGGGTCGAAAGCACCGCACAAGCCCATGCGTCCAAGGAATTATAACCCCATGAAGGGGCCTGGGACTCAGCGCTCACTTAGTAGAGGGTTTTGGGTTTCAAGTTGAGGGTTTAGGGTTCGAAGTTTAGGGTTTAGGGTTGGGCTTAGTAGCTGAATGAATACATGTTACTCCTTTTTGGGGATAATGGGACCCCTTATAAAACAGGAAGTGTACACCGATCTTTTGGGGCTTATGAACTCAGCACTCGGGGATCCGGGTGTCTAGAGACTTCGGAGAGCTTTGCGCCGGACAGGCAGGTCGTCAAGTCGGCATTGTCTTTCAGCGTTTAATAAAAAGGGGCCTTGATAATCACCTATTCTGGCAGAAAGTACCACAAAACCCAATTCTACTTATTAAGGCCGCCGCTACATTGGGTTTTAGGGTTCTGGCCCAGGGATGCCGAAGAAGTACCAGGGCATGTGCTCAAGAAACAGGAGTAATGCAGGGGCCTTAATAATCAGAATAGGGTTTGGGGTATATTATAATATAATTATAGTAAGGAACCCCCAAAACCCTATCCTAATTATCAAGGCCCGTACATTAAATGTGCATGCCATTAGAGTTGGCCTCGGCTGGGTCCGTAGCTGAGATGTATCTCAGTCAGGATACGTGTTGGTGGAGGCAGGCACCACTGACCTACTCTGTGTGCATGCCACTTGCCCAAACCGGAAAGGGCCAGACCATCAAGGCTCTGAAAGTCCGAAACCCTCCACCCAAACAGCCACAAAGCCCGGAGACTAAAACCCGATAAAGCCTCTACCTTCTGAGCCCGAAGCTCCAAACCATGTGGGTCTATGCAGATCTTTCGTGTGGCGGTTTGGCATCGCACGCCTTACCTATAGTCTCCAATGTAGTTTCTTTTTTTGGGTTTAACCCAATGCATACTAAGGATCCTAAAAGGTAACCCCCAAAAAGGAACTACAACGGAGACTATAGGCAAGCTGAGAGACCTCAACTCCGTAGTGTGCAAATCCCTAAACCCTAAACCCTGATTTCGGATTTTCTTCCTTGGCCCGAGGTACGGTTTCATCTCCTCCTCTATGTGGGAGGGAGACTGCTACTTCAAGGGCAAGGACTTCCGGGTTCAGGAGTAATGTAGACCCCCGGAGTAAGTTGCGCCTGCATTTTCGGGCATGTAGGATGTATGTATGTACATATATATATATATATATACATATTGTATATGTATACATATATATATATATATATAGCTAGTCATTGAAGTAACTGATTAATTGATTAATTAATCTATTGATTGTGGTTTATATATATATATATGTAGAGAGAGAGAGAGACACGTGCATAACATGTTGGCATCTGTACAGCGGAATCCTTACCCAGGGGTTGAGATGTTCATCAGGGGTCTAAGCTGTCGCATGGCCCGCGAGTTTGAATTGTTGCTGTAAATCCGGGACCCGCAGGAACCTGAACCTTACGCCCCAAGCCCAAGCCCCGCAGCCTAACCACCCAAAACTAGACCCAAACCAACCCGACGAAGGACCTCCCTCCACAGCTGGCAGCATCGGATGTGAGAGGGATGAAGGTGCAACACTTTCTTGGGAACCCTGAACCTGCAACCCTGAACTTTCGGGTTTAGGGTTTTTGTAAACCCTAAGCCCTAATTAAGCCATCTATACCGCGAAGCCGTGAAGCCAATTCAGCCCAAAACCCTTACACCCCGTCTTTAGCCCAAACCTAAATACATTCAACACCCTAATCCTAAAGCGCCGACATTTTCGTCCGGCAGTTCGCCGCACTAACCTACCATGGATCCCGAAATAGCTCCTCTAAGAGTGGTTTAGGCGTCAGAGGATCATGGGACTTAGTAAGTAGGGTTATAAGTACCTGAATTGGGGCTTTAAGTAATTGTAAGTATAGTTACCTTAATTATAACCCTAGCTACTAAGTCCCATGATCCTTTAAGTAGGGTTTCGGGTTGAGGTCACAGTGGTCTGGAACAGGCACTTTCCCAGGCTCCATGTTCATATGGGCAGTTCTCTAAATTAGGGTCCCTTTTAGAGCCCTTTTTATAAGGGTGCCGTGCTATATTGGGGACCTAAAAAAGGACTTTAATTTAGAGAACTACAGTACCCATATAGAGGTCGGAGCTCTGCGGCTCTTGGTGACGTTTCTAGTTTGTTCATGTTGAGGTTCTGCATAGCAGTCTTTACATGGACCTCCAAATTATCCATTCCTTGCTTGAAGGAACTGTATCCCCCTGAGTCTATGACATGCTATAACGTACTACACCCTACACCCTAAACCGGAATGTGCACGAAAGGGCCTCAGACCCCCATGTTAGCTTGGCAACATTGTATTGGCTATAAACTTGAAGGCCCTTTAGGGTTCAGGGTTTAGGGTCGTGCAGGCATAGTTCAGCTGTTACAGTAGGGTTCCCCTGCAAGTGGGGTTTTGCGAGTTCGGATGTTTCTAGAATGGGGCCCTGTTCTGTGGTAGGGTGTTATACTTTCTGAAGCTTTCGAGCGCCTACCGTGGGCAGGGTGGTATTACCCAGACCTGCCAAAATACTTATACATTAACTTAGGAATATGCCTTCGATTATAGTAGGATCCCCGATATGATCTAAGGTATATACTCCTTAATTCAGGGATTTTGGAAGGTCTGTGAAACAGAAAGGACTGTTGCGTGGGATGGAAACTGCTGGTTTGTACGTCTTCGACATCCCTCTCCTTGGGAAAATAAGACCACTACCAGTGGGCCAGGTGCGCTTTACGGCGGTAGCCATGCAGGATGGCAAAATGCAGGCTGGGGGGGACCAGGGGGTCGCCTACGGCGTTGTATTGAATGAAGGTGGGGGTTTATCTAGATTGGGATCCCTTCTAGCGTCCTTTTCCAAAGGGTGCCGTAATTTTTTTGGGGGGGGACCTAGAAGGAGCCCTGAATTTAGGGAACTGCCCAGGTATCCTGGAGACTCTGTGCATCTTGCTGTAGGTGTTGCAGCAAGTGAGGGCTTGGGCTCAGCATTACCCTAATGGTCCATGTACCCAAATAGATATACTTTGGCCTTAAAAAAGCTCCCGGTTTAGGGTTTAGAGTTTAGGGGGCAAGTCTGTGAGTTTTGTTGCAGCAGCTTTCTCCAAGCCATGGCTTCGTGCAATGTATAACCCAACAGCACAAGACTCAGACTCCTCACATGCATCGATGAGGTCGTCACCGAGTTCTCCCTTTGCAGATTTCTCTGTAGCTGCATAAGATACTCCCTCCCCCGTGGTCACGGCACTCAAGGTTCAAAGCCTGAAGCTTCGAGAAGTGAGCTCTTCGACCTAAAAGCCGAGAGCCTAAGCTCAATGCTCCAAGCTCTGCCAAGAGGCACGCGATGTGATCGCAGGGGGCTCTGTCGACTTCGGCTGCTTCTAAGAGTCCGGTAATAGAGAGGCCTCAAAATAATTACCTAGAATATTTTGGGGGTTCCTTATTATAATTGTAGTATGTTGGGCCCCAAAACTTAAAACCCTATTCCTTTTTATTAAGGCCCTTACATTATGCTCGAAGGCTTCAGCTTCATTGGGTCCAATAGTTTCCGCACACGAACTGTTCAGTTCAGTAGGGTCTAAGAAGCTGTGATCCTTCAAGCGACTTAATAGCTAGGGTTATAATTGAGGTAACTGTACTTATAATTACTTATAGCCCCAATTAAGGTACTTATAACCCTACTTACTAAGTCCCATGATCCTTGAAGTACTGAGTTTTCATCTGCACCAATGTGCTTTCAGAAGGTAGGCTATCCCCGAAGTCTCTCATTGTTCATAGGCTTATTATCCGGTTGCAATGTCCCAGGACAAGGCTGTTCAGACACGGAACCCTAGATAGCCTCAACCCTTAAGAGACATGTATAGGGAATCCCAGCACTAATCGTCCTTAATCTGGTTTCCAACTTTTCGGGGTCTGCAAAAGTTGGGCAGAGGCAGGATGCATTGGCTTGTCAGAAAGCTGTCTGCTTGGGTGGGAATGTGCGGTCTACTTGGGCTCATTGGAGGGTCTGGGTCTGGTGGGTGAATTACTACAGGGTTTAGGGCAGGGTATGTTCCTGGAAGCCCCATTAAACCCCCACTATAACCCTAAGGGTGGGAGTACTTAATATAATCATATACTCTCCCAAATATAAACCTAGATAACTACCATCCGCAACCAAAGTACCTGATTATTAGGTCTTTTGGACCCTTAAACCCTAAAGGCCCTAAACCCTTCGGATAAGGGTACCTGATTCGTAGGTCTTTTGGACCCTTAAAATTAATCACAAGTCATGAAGTCTTGCAAACCGCTTCAGACTGAGCTCTCGGGCAACGTGCCCAAAGGGTGTGTGTACCGATGTAGTAGATATAATTATATGTATATATATATATATGTATATGTATATTTAAATATATATATATATATAGGAAGCCACTATATACGAGCTCCGATTAAATAATTATGCACTGTATAGATGCATAGACCTTTAAAACCCAGTGCTTATCCCAACAAGGCTCCCTTTAAGTACAAAGCCACATACAGAACTTTATAAACCCAAACAAAGCCCCTCCAACACACCCGAAAGCAACCCTAGGCCATCAACCCCTCTTAGAAACCCTACAGCCCTAAACAAAGGGTACCTTGCGCGCTGAAAGGAAGACCTTGAAGAACCCCTGAGGAACCCTTTATGGAATTGTGGTGCCCTGACAGGAATCCTGTTCCGACAATAGCTCTCAGAGGAACACTTATAGATCCCTGTAAAAGGAACCATGAGGAACCCTAAGAGAACCTTCAAACCCCAAACCATGTACACAAAAGCCCACTTTATGAACCCTTAGTAGAACCTCTTAAAGGAACCCTTAATCGGTTTAGGGTTTAGGGTTTAGGGCTTAGGGTTCAGTAGAACCTCTTAAAGGAACCCGTAAACGAACCCCCTGAAAGGAACGCTTTCCAAGAAGGGCACAGGGACTCTTTGGGGGAGATGCCCAGGTGCTGCAGAGCGCTGCGCCTGCAGGTGGGCGTGGGTTCCCTTCCCTCTGGTGAAGCGTCTGATTTATGGTTTAGGGTTTTGGGTTTTGGGTTTAGGGCATGGCTTGAGGTTTTAAGAGAGGGTGCTTAGGGTGTTTTCAGGGCTTCTAGGGTTCATTTCTTGTCTGAAGTGGGTCAGGGGGGTGGGAGGGTGCAAGGCTCCAGCGATTTTACGTTTGCGCATGCCTGCAAGAGTTTGGAAACTCCCAAACCCATGAACCCCCATGTGGAAACAGGATGTAGTTCTGGGCAAATGTAGGCCCTTGACGAATACACCAGCTTTTTCAGTGCCCTGGTTAAGGTAGTTGGCGGGTTTTATTCATCAGAGGTCTACATTAACTTAAGGTATTAGGGTTTGTCTTATGGTGTAGAAAGCCCTGAACCCTATAACTCAAGAGGTTGGCCTGCTCCTCTGTCCTCCTGCATGCCCGAATCCGGGCAAGCGGGCTGTCGAAAAGTCCGTTACCGCGGATTCCAGAAGCATCGATCAAGCCTTTATAAGCCGCAAACTCCAAACCCTAAATTCACAAACCCTCAACCCAGCTCGGAACTCTGCATCGGAGCAAGTTGAACAGGTCCGCCTCCAATGCAAATGAGCCCGGCGCTCGGGGTTCCAAGGGTTGCCGGATGAACAGCTCGTGGGCTCGGGGGTTTCGTAGGATCAGGGCCATTTTTTGTGCATTTTTGTTGGTGAGGGGCGGGGTGTCCTTGCGGTGCGGATACCATTAATTATCTTGTGTAAATGTTAGAGTCCACTATTGTCGGAATCTTCGAAACAAGTAGAGTGCATGTTATGTTCGTTTTCATAGATGTACATATACATATATACACAGACATACATATTAGAGCGCAGGGGAGAGGGCAAGCTGAACACAACGAACATGTGCATCACTACAAGCACACAATGCGTCGTCTGTCAACCTGACTGTCAAGCACATGAAGTTCCTTTAGTTCTGTAATTCGTCAAAGGCAACAACTAAGGAGACAAGGGTGTGCTGAGAAGTTGTTACTTGTTCGGAAAGCACCATTCTGCTAGCTAGCTCTACGCTTTGATGATGCTGTTACCATGTCCCTAGGAGTAGATTAAGTAGCCGTCAGCCTTTGTGGGGTTGTTATGACCCCTATACACTCCCAACGGTAAGGGTTAACCAATACTTCCCATAGGAAGCTGGACAAGAAAGTGTCATGCAGCGATGGTGTGTTTGTGTTAGTTGTCATCGCACCGCAGTAGATCGCCATCTTGCTGCAGCGATTGGGGAGAAAGATAGGCTGAGCCGCTGCAGTAAAGCCTCGTGGGGCTTCTTGCGCTGCCGTGTTGCGCGGAGCTAGATAACACTAGCGTGCTCCCCACGCATGTAGTTTAAGCTCTAGTTTAAGCTGCTCCTACTAAGCTTCAAACCCTTAAAACCTTAGAGTTAATTAAACCCTGATAAACCAAAGCCAAGGTATGCCACCAATGCCTACGCAGCGCATGGCGCAGCCGCAGGTCGCACTTCATTGCAGTGGAGTCATCCACCTTTCAGGGCTTGTCATCATGGTTGGTAGACTCTCCTCCTCCTCCTCCTCCTCCTTGGTGGTTTGGTTTGGTTCTGGGCTTGGGTCTGCTTGAGGGCCTTGGTTTTAAAATCATCGTTGCGGACTCCCTCCCTCTTGTATTGTGATGTGCCTCTCCACCCCCCTGTGGTGTGGTTCGACGGTCTTTGGTATTGTCATCATGGCTGGCTGACTCTGCTCTTCTCGGGACTCTCTGGTGATGTAGGAAGGTTCGGCGAACCGGGAACTGGGACCATATGTTCATTTTCCTGCAAGGGCTTTAGTATGATCACCTATTAATTATGAGACTTCAGAGGAGACTGAGGGCGCTCTACAATGCATCTTCAAGAGCTAGGCTATTTGGGTTTGGGGTTTCGGCTTTAGGGTTTAGGGGCCTATACTTTGCTCCAAGCCCCGGGTTCGAAACAACTCGTGTCGCCCTTCCTCTGCTTTTTTGTTTGCACCTCCAGCCTTTGCCTGACTCAGACCGTATGTACCGTTGAGAGGCTAAGGCTTTTGCTTGGAGCCACTACATTTCCCGGCCGGAACACTGTCAACCCCGAACCCTCATCCCTAATTCCCATAAACCTCTCACTCTAAACCCTAAGACCGTAGAACCCTAAAACCTGGAAGGTCGTCGCGCCAGCTCCACAGGCCCAGGCGAGCGGGTTTCGGGTTACACACAAACCCTAAACACACTCCCAAGGAGCCTCATGAGCCCTGCAGTACCCTTATAGACCCCTTAAAGGAACCCTTATAAAAGAGCCCTAAACCCTAAAGGAGCCCTAAACCCTAAAGAGCCCTTTTAGGCAACTTAAGGAGCATTCCCAAGACTTCAGGGTCGAAAGGGCCTCAGAATTCTGTCTGGTGCTTAGTAGGGAATGGGGGAATGGGTTGTAAGGACTGCTATAAGGGACCTTAAGGGACTATCATAGGGATCCATTCGACAGAATTAGGTATTTGAGTTTATAATTAGGCTAGTAAGCTAGTGGTTTCGTAGGCTGGTTTTTGGGAGAGTAAATGATGCTTGGGTACGTGGGACCGTTTTGGGGTATGTAGGGCATACAGTTTAGAGTCTACATAATCTCTCTAGGATAGGAACCCCTTGAATCACATTTAGGTTGTTTACTCAACGAAGGCGTTGGGCGTTTTGGCTGCAGCCCCGAACCCTACAAACTAGCAGGTGCCGGAGGCAAGCTGGAAGGATTGCTTGCAAGCTGGGGTTTGGGGTTTCAGGTGTTCGGAGTTTAGGGTTTAGGGTTTAGGGTTTAGGGTTTAGGGTTTAGGGATTTCAGGCTTAGAGGTGTGGGATTATTAATGGGGCATCGGGCCTTTGGCCATCAGGCCAGGGTTGAGTTGTTAGAGGTGAGGCTTATACCAAACAGACTACAAAACCACATTATAGGGGGCCTTAATATTTACCTAATTATTCTAGTTTGGGGGGGGGGTCCTTATTATAATTATAGTATAATATACCCCAAAACCCAATTCTAATTATTAAGGCCTTACCTTAAAGCGGTTTGTTCTAGCAACAGAGGCGCTGACAATCACATGGCTTCGATCGCCCCGCCAAGCTTGAGTGTGAAGCGGCCACAACCCGGAGCCCTCAAAGAAACCACTCAAAGGTTCATGCTGAATTCGGTAAAAGTCGGTTCTAACTACTTTCCTTGCGGTTATAGGTCAGAGGTACCTCGATATCACGATCCCGTAAACCCCTCCCCCCCCCCCAGGTACCTACTATAGAGGGCCCTAGGGGCTCTAGTACTTTTTTTAGTAGGTACCTGGTGGGGGGTCAGGGATCCTGTGCATGTTTTAGCACTGCATGCTGTGACAGGCAGTCCCTAAACCCTAAACCCTAAACCCTAAACCCTAAACCCTAAACCACCTAAGCATCCGTACCATTGGCCTGAGAAGAAGGAGCCTTGAGTCGGCTTGGAGCGGCATTGGGTGGTTGTTTCTCGAGATTTCTCCCAAGTTAGGCAAAGCCTATGCTATACCTGGGCCAATGCCGTGGTCTCTTAAACACTATAGGTCTCAGCCCTTCTTCCTACCCGAAACTCAAGGTCCCCAACCCTGCATTGCTCCCGCCTTCGCTCTCCCTCGGAAACGCTGCAACTCCTTTGCCAGAGCTCAACTTGCGAGAAAATATTGGGCCCACCCAGGTGCCACGAGCGCCGCCGGCAGGACGCTCAGGTCTCGCAATCTTGACACATGCAGGGGATCCGTTAAACAACCCTCAGCCAAGCCATTTAAATCGGGCCATCGTTGTGAACACACTTTCCTCACTGGTAGAAGGAGATCCTAGCCAAACAGGGCACCGACACTCTGGCTATCTTGCGGGTGGGTAGTGGGATCATCTATGTCGAAAACTGCGATATCTGATTCTGGATGTCTGCCATCCTACTCAGAAACCCTCAACCCCAAACCATGCAAAACCCTAAACCCAAAGCCCTGAACCCCTAAACCCCAAAATCCTAAACCCTTAACCCAAAGCCCTAAACCCTAAACCCTAAACCCTAAGCCAGACCTGCAAGGCTAATATCCTACACGCAGGTACCCAACAGTGGGGTCCTTTGGACCCTGAGGCTTCGTAGATGAGTAGGTCTCCGGTTTTGGTTGTCGCCCGTGCGTGCGCAGTAAGTGGAGTCATCCTGCTCGTCTTCCGTTTTTGGTTGTGTTGATTTTGGCTCTAGGACTAGGGTTAGGGTAACGCAGTTAGACTTTGGGATTTAGGAGTGTGGGGTTCTGGGTTTACCCTAAGGGTCCAAGTACCTAATAATCATATACTCTCCCAAATAGTAACCTACATAACTACTATCCGAAACCTAAGTACCTGATTATTATTGGGTCCTTTGGACCCTTGGGTTTGTGGTTTGAGGGCTTGCCTCGTTCGCCTCCGAGGCGCCGACAATGGCGGCTCCTCCCGCAGCCATGGGTGGCGAACTCAGAGTTGCTTGCTTCGGGTTTGGGTTTAGGGTTTAGGGGTTAGGGTTCAGGGCTTAGGTGGGTGTGGCGTTTTGGCGTTTAGGGCCTTCACACAACGGTTCCTCTCATCAAAGGGGCCTATGAGGGTACTCTAGTATGATAAGGAGGGCTTTATGGGATTCGGGCGTTTCAAGCTTGGGATTGAAATTCTGGCTTTGGGGTTTGGGCTGTTGGGGTTTCGGCTGGGACACTTCAGACTCATGGTCTGGGGTCAAGATCCCTGTCCGTAAGCGTCCAAGCATTGAAGAATCCGATACACTACAAAATACATTCCTTCAAGACTACTAGCCTCCGCCCGCGTGCCTAATGATTACGTCCTTTGAACCCTTAGGGAGTGATCGAGAATCGAGTTTCATTTCGCCTGGATAGGGGTGTGTGCCTCGATCCTGTCGATGCTAGGTCCCAAATCGAAACTCTACACCCCGAAAACACTGGCGTGAGTTCTTAAGGCGCGTTTGGCAAGTCCAGAACAGTGGTCTAAGAAGCACGAGTCTGGGATAACTATAGGTTTATAAGTGTTCTGAACATACAGGAAGAGTATGGAATAGAGTCTCCATACAGGTATATTACAAGGTTTCCCCCAAATCCTATTCTACATACAACTATGCGGTTAAAATCTCCGGTGATGATTGTCTGCGCCACTCTGTCACTGGACTAAGCTTTCTTTCAGGCTGTGGTCGAGGACGTGACTTGTTCAATGCGACTGTAGGGGAACAAGTGATTTTTCAGAATCAGCAGCCATCAGCTTCTACGGAAGTCATGGGTCCCAAACCCAAACCCTGGTTTCAGGGGGTCAGTTGAGGCTCTTGGGGTTTAGGGTTTAGGGGGCCTCAGGGAGGAATCTTGAAGGATCCGGCCGTGCACTTCGCGGTGCGCCTTCTTCCACTGAGGCAGACTGAGGTGACTAAGGTGACTAAGGACTGGAGAGCTCCATCCATGCAACCGCAACTCATGCCGTGCTGTCGAGGGGTTTGGGCGTCCACAGGTAATTGCCCCTGTTGTATGTTTTTGAGGACCGGCTGCCTTTAATTACTGTTGTCAAACGTGAGAAACATCTAAACGCATATAGGTAAATACATATATATATATATATATATAATATATATATAATATATATATAGATGTATGTATGTATATGTATATGTATTGTATGTGTGTATATATATATAGATGGAACTGGGCATTTGTATGTATACATATACATACACACACACACACTGGTTTACAAGTGTATGCGGATAGGTAGATAGATAGATAGATAGATAGATAGATCGACAGATAGGTACATAGATACATGGATAGATAGATAGATAGATAGATAGATAGATAGATAGATAGGCAGTTCGATAGATAGACAGACAGATAGATAGATGGATAGGCCGATAGGTAGATGATACATAGATACATAGGTACCAACTAACTTTTCATATATGCACATAGATATATGTAATCTTATAGAAAATATAAATTCATAGGAGTATGCATGGTTCCCCAAGGTTTTGCTTCCATCTACAACGTGTTAGTTGTGCGCTGACTTTCGCTGTAGCTTTCCTGCTTGGTCGAAACTGTTGTCACAGGAGTCAGTGGTTCTTTACTGAGCAGCATGGTGACTGCTGTCGGTGTGGTTGCCGGCAATTTCACCTGAAGCAGGTATTCGTTGGTTTATGTTGCCCAGATGGCACGCTGAGTATTGCCAGAAAATCACTGTTCTGACAGCAGTTTAGTTGAAATCACTTGTGATCGATGTCTGTCATGACTGGTTTCTGCAGGTACCATTGCTGGCATTGCTTTGGCCAGTGATGTTGTGCATGTCTGCTGTTCTTGTGCATCACATGCACGCTTGGCTGTGGACTGTACTCTAGCATGCTGGTCATGTTATGGATTTCTCATGTGTTTCTTGCAATGTTGTTCTTTGATTGACTCTGTGACAAGGCCATACTATCCCTGAGGGGACTTCCATGGTTGGCTCGGTGAAGACATTTGACCCGGCGAAGGCATTTTGTCTCCTTTTTCAGTGGTCTTTGTGTTGCGGTTACAAGTGATTGGTTGTGGAGTGACGATGTATCTTCTGATTGCATCTTTACCTGTTGAAACAGCACATCGACGTATGTGCTGACTACTGTACATCTATTTTTCGTGAGCTTTGGAGTTTAGTTTTCATCCTTTGCAAGAGGCTTCCATCTGTTGCTTTCACATGCAATGTGCTGCGTGCGACAGCAGTTTGCTTTAGTGAGTGCCGTAACCCCAAATAGCCTGCCTTTTTAGGGCTCCTTATTGTCATTTCGTTGTACATGATTGCACATGTAGGTTTTTAGGCTCCAGGTACTCCCTCAGACAGTGGGTGGCCCATCCACTCTCCGGCCAGATGCCTCATCGAATCTCATGCTTAACACCCCAAACTCTGAACCCTAATTACATCGTTACACCGTCATTAAGGTCTGGCTTGGGGCAGATATGCTCACACTCCAAGTCGCAGAGTCTTGCATAAGCCTTTGAGTGAATAGCGCGAGAGCTTACAGCTGTCGTTTTGTTTTTCGAACCCACAGTCGCAAGCAAACTTGCCACCACCCATGCGGTTCGCCGTTAAAACCCGGTAAACACTGGTGCAGAGAGATCGCAAACCTTAACCCAAAGCCTTGGCCTCCACCCTAAACTTTAAACCTCTACACTCACGTGGGCCGGGAACCCTCTCCAGTCTGAGGGCCTCGGCTGTTTTAGAAGAGGGCTTTTCTTTTGTACCTAAAGTAACCAAATGTACCCAAAAAGAAACGACGCGGCCCTGGCCCGTCTTGATTATTAATGTAGAGACCCTTATTATAGAGGCCGTATAGGGCCCCTAGGCCCTAGAAAGCCCTTAGAGAACCTCCTAACTATCTAGTCACATCGACACTTTTCATAGGGAATCAAGTGCGGAGTTCTGGTAGTCAGCAGCCTCAGCATGAAAAGCAGGCGAGCCCACGATCCGCTCGTCTCAACTCAACATACCCTTAAGGGTTTAGGGTGAGGTTTCAGGTTTCGGAAAGAAGCTTGAATGTTTGCTGTACCTTGCGTCTCAGAGGCCTCGGCAGTCTAATTCACCCGAAACCCTAAACCCTAAACCCTAAACGCTAGACCCTAAACCCTAAACCCTAAACCCTAAACCCGAAACCAGAACCCTAAAGATCCCCCTTGTACCCTTTGAATATAGCACCCGCTCAGAACCGAAATGACCCTGGCCGATCTCCCTTTTTAGGTGCCCTGGTTGCTTTCTTGGATAATTAGGCCCGAAGTACTTCATGGATAGTAGGAGGCGGCAGGTGGCTATATTGGGGAGTTCCTGGTTAAACTAACTTAGACCCAACAAGTCCAACAAAGCAAGACCCGTTTTCCGCTGGGTTTAAACCCCGATGAAACCCTCAATCAGAAAGACGAAGTCTAGACGATCTTACATCTCGTAAGACTGCGAACTCGACAAACAACTCAACACCTCAACCCCGAAACCCTAAAACCCTAATGAACCCTTATAACTCCCCAAAATGCTCAGACCCATCCCAGGGGTACGGATTCATCTCCGCGCCCAACTTTCCAGTGGACACCTAGTCGCACTTGTCGATGTAGGGGGTACGAGTTCAGGGCTCAGGGTCTATATGGTTGTGGTGTCATGGAGCGGTACTGTTTTGCAGAGCAACTATGTGCGCAAATCTACCACTACAGTATATACACATCGACTGAGTTCTTCTGTGATGTTGACATGGGTTTTGGAAGGTCTCCGGGTTCAGGGAGTTCGAGAGTTTGAGGCTTGCTGCTTTTTGCTACGTTGAGGTTGTGTTGTCTTTTGCAATTTATTTGTTTGTTTGCTTGTTTGTCTGCTTTTGTGTGTGTGTATGTGTGTGTGTGTGTGTACGTGTGTACGTGTGTATGTGTGTATGTATGTATGCGGCTGTCTCAGCACGGTTTTTGCAGGAGACAAAGGCTGGAGCGTGTGGTGCTGTGCCTGGTTCTTCCTGATCACTCATAGAACCATAGAACTTCTCGGCCGAAATATAGTATAAAATACACCAAAACCCTATTAAAATTATTAAGGCCTTTAGATTACAGGGCCGGAAAGCTGGGTGTCTTTCGGTTCTTGGTTGAGGGCTTTGAGTTGGCGCTCTTAGCTGCCCAGAGCTCTGCCTTCATGGCCTGGAAGTGGACGCAGCTGTGACTGCCCCATCATCTTGAACCGAATCCCTTAGCATCAGAATAGCCCAAAAGCCTTTTGTAGTAGGGTCTTTGGGCCCAAAAGCCATAAACTATGAGTTGAAGCTGTGGGAATCGCATTCTACACAAACTGATATGCGAAACAGGCATAGTTACAGCCTCGGACATTAGCCAAAGCCAAAGGCCCAAAACCCTGAAGCCCTCAACTGTGACCACCCAAAAGAAGGTCGAAACTCCAAGCTATCGAGCTTGTTGAGGATGTGTCTTTCAAGCCCTAAGCCTAAAAACTTTAAATCCTCTGGGGATGTATCGTCAAGCCCCAAAACCAAAACCTTCTCAAGATCTCTCCTTCAAACCCCCAAAACCAAAACCGTCTGAGGATATTTATTTCAAGCCTGAGTTGGAGCCCGTGGCGGTGGGCCAGCAGGCCTTCCAGAAAGTTGGGCGCCAGACGCAATAGGCTTAGGGGACTGATTGAAGAATGCGTAGCTGATATACATATACATACGACATACTCAGCAACGTCTGCATCTTACAAGGTCTGGTGAACAGAGAAGCTGCGGCTGCGTGCGTGAGATGTGGCGGCTTCAGGGGGGGCTCTGCGGTGCCCACAGATGCCGTGCTCATGCTAAACCAAACTGTCGTTCAACTCACATCCAGTGTCAAGGTTCAGCATGAATTTCGACGACACCCTACACCAAGAGTTTACCCCAAGCCGCATGAGCCCATGATGCCCTAAGTCCTGCACCTTGATCTACGCCCGCCATCCCAAGTCCGTAAATCCGCAGCAGTCAGCTTCAAAACCAAGCGTTCTAAATTCTAAAGCCCGATATAACTTAACCCCTCAAGCTAAGCAGCAGGTGACCTTCACCATCCACTGGACGCCGCAGGGCAAGCCTCAAGCGCGGGAGGCACGTGTCCGTATATGAAGGATGCTTAAAGAGCCAAGGAGTTCATTCTACAAGGCACGTTAGGCAAAGGGCTTTCAGGGGGTTTAGCCCCGGCGGGCTGTGGGTGCACAATTGCAACAATATGTATGGCAGCTGCCAACAAGACAGATCGAGGGCGGAAAAGAGAGCAGAGAGGGAGTTAGAGAGACACACACGCGAGGGTGAGAGCGAGAGACACAGAGGGGGTCAGAAAGTAGAGAGAGAAAGAGCGACAGGGTAGCGGAGGTCTAGCAGATTTGTGAGAGGGCTTCCAGAGGGTGATTCCTTATATTTCAGGGCTTAGTGTTTTGGGAATGGGGTTTCGATCGTTACGCGGCCTTACTGTAGATTCAGCTGTTTGGGGCTTGAACCGACAGACCTGAAGGCTCAGGGCCCAAGATTATGGGATTGGACGGCTGCTGCAGCCCGAAAGAAATTCTAAGGTTGTCTCTGTGGCGATGACAACTCAGAATCTGAGCTCTTAGCACTTCGGGCCCCGTTGTGCCCACAGGCCTCAACAGCCTAATGCTGAAGCACAAAGCCCCAGCGTCCGAAGACCTTATACATAGAATAGCGAAAGGCACCCCCATGAGAAATGGGAAAGGGCCTTAACGGGTATGAATACCTGTAACGGCAATAATAATCGCACTAATGATGGCAGTAATGATGATAACTCATAATCGTTAAGTTGCTCGAAAAGTAGCTCTGCTGGAGGGCAGGTTGCTGTGGGGCCCAGGTCTTTGCGAACCCACTGTCTGAATATAGTGTAAACAGAACATTCCGTGACCCAGCTGTCGGAACATACAAAACCGCTGAAAGAGGTGGGTTGCAAGAACGCAGGCCCCACAACCTCCTCTTGAGTAAGAATCGCATTAAGTAACAGCAGTGACCACCGCAATATATTTACATAATGACAACCTTGGTCTTAGTAGAAAAACAAGAATGGCAGCATGCCCTTCAAGTTTCCTTAAGGGCCCTATGCATCTTCGGAGTGAAGCTCGTGAGAGGTGACGAGCCCGATGCAGGCTGGCGAGTTTTTGGCCGGTGCCCCAGTTCGTTCACGGACCTAGGTTAAGGGCTTGGGTGTTTTGGGGTTTAAGGTTTTGAGGGCTTTAGTTTGTTTTTTGTGGTTGGTGTGTGGGATGTTGGGGATGACAGCTGCTTGGTGCAGCCAAAGCTTTTTCAGTAGTCGTTTTCAACAGTCTGTGTTGAATGCTATGAGGGATTGTTCGAGGAGACTGTCTTGATATTTCTCCTTCATACGATGGATGTGTTTCAGAGTTGGAGATTGGACTTCGGCTGTCTTGATTTCTGATGCCGTCCATGTTTTGCCGCCATCAGGATGATGGTTCATAGTATCTCGGGTCATGATAATGGTAAATCTGTCAGTCCTACTAGTCATCCTCTCTGTCTCCAAGGCTGAGGCTCGAGTTTTCGCCATGGGGCGCAGGGACCTCCCCACGCCATCGACCTTGCAAAACCGCCAACCAGCAACCCTGGCAAGTGCACGGCCCGATATGTCCCGTGCTCGCCCGCTTCAGTCTGGCACCGTGCGACGATACAATCCGAACAAAGGCCGCCTGTCTTTGCAGATTTGGCAAGGGTCTTTGCTGGGTTCCTTGTTCTCAGGGTCCCCCTTTATCCGCGTCAGGCCTGTGGCCAGTATTTATGCTCCTGGCTTTGGGAGGTGTAAGCTTTGGGATTCGTTCTTCGTTTGTGGTACATATTTGCCCTACCTGCCGACAGGGCTTTCGCCAACTTAGTGGCCCCGTTCCAAGCGATGCTTTGAAGAATAGTCCGGAGAGTCTGAGGGTTTGTTTAACGGACTTCGATGCTTGTAAAAGGCCTGTAAATAATTCCTGTCTACATAAAGGGGACACGTTCTCCAAAGCTCCAGCATTGATCGACCTCCTTCTACCATGCATTGGTTTGTGACGAATGGCATCAAAACATGGATCCTCGGCCTGCGATACCTACAAGACGACTCCCTACAGACCTTACACCCCAGGAAATCTCTGTTGAGGTCGCTTGCTTCTGGGGTTTTGGTCTTTTGTTTATAACCTCCGAGTCGGGAGTCAAAGGGTGTATACAGGTCAAAACCTTGTAAGAAACTTCGTTTTGCAACCTTTTTGGTTCTTGGATTCTTCTGTTTGCAGGTATTGCGGACAGACCCCATGGAGTTTCCAGCCTCCAAGCACTATCCCTAAAGCCCTACGGAGCCCTAAACTCCGACATTTCGAAGATATATAGCTCCCGAAAACCCCCAAAGCATCCCAAAGCTAGAAGAAAACGGGTCCAAGACTTCCGGGTCTAAACGTGGTTAGATTGCCACAGATACTTCGGCCTCAAACAGACTGCTGGATGATAGTCTGTAATGTAGTAATGCATGTACTATATATCATAGGGTTTAGGGTTTTGGCGCGTGTTGGTACAGTTCAACATCAAGCCTGAGCTCTGAACCGTAATACTGAGACTGCAACCCGACAGCCTACTTAAACCTTTCCTAAGCCCCAAACCCTAAACTGCCAAATCCCAACTTCGGCCCGAAGCCCCACAACTCCCAGATCCTAAACCCTTTACCCCATAAGCCCGTCCTAATTCTGTGTGCTAAGCCGCAAACCCGACACTTCACTTCACTTCGCAGCGAAAGGTCTGAAGTCCTGTGCCAAAAGAGAGCGGCTCCCTAGCAAGGTGACACGGATCGCCTAAATACCCCAAACATCAAAAACTCTATCACAGACCTCTTACTCCCAAATCCTAAACCCTAAAACGCTTTCTGTCTTATCAGGCTTCGGTTTCCTGGCGGTCGAAGGCCGATCGCAGGACGCAGTGGAATTTGCATGTCTTGGGTCTACGCGGGCGACAGGTTTGGGATTTATGGTTGAGGCTTTCCGGCTTAGGGTGTAGCGACTATATACTCTAGCCTTAGGGCAAGCCTTCGCTACATAGCATCAGCCCGCCTGGCAGGGTTACACACTCGTTCGCTACCCCACCAAACTCGGCTGGTGAAGGCAGCATTGGTTGAAGACGTGTCGCGTGCTATTATGCTTTCGAATCCGAATATTCATGGAGACGGAAAATAGGAGCGATTTAGCAACCGAGTTTCTGCGTGTTTCTTTGCTCAAGAGAAACACGCAACAGAGAGCATCGGTGCAAAGCCAGCCACAGGCTCTGGCAGGCCGGTCCCTCACAGCAGAGCCATTGCCATGAAGGTCAGCAGGTCCCAGATGCTGAGTATGCTGACAGTGCTTCTGGTATGTTGGTCACATGTCTGTCAGGACTGCCTGGCAATTAATACGCGACAGCAAAACTTGAAATTGCTTCGAGAGCGCAAGGGCATGGCATTGACTGGAAGTTTAAATTCTTTACCTATCAGCCCAGAAGGAGCCCATATTGCGTTGGCAATCTCTGAAGCAGGAAAGCGAGGTGATTGGCATCAAGCTCGGCGTCTGTATTCGGCTTACACTGGTGCTGAGATCCAAGTTTTCAGTGCTGCTATGCAGGCGGCTATACGGTGTGACCAGTACAAGCAAGGCGCGCTCATCTACCGGAAACTTCGCGGTCTGAACATTAAGATTGACTCTCTTGCTTTCGCAAGTGCTCTCAAGATTCACTCAATGTTGGGCCAGAGGGACGCCGTTCGTGAGATTTGGACAGAGGCTATGCGAGAGTGTGAACTCGATGCTCTACTTGCTGCAGCTCGCATTTCCGCCGCTGCTGCAGAGGGAGATGTTCAAACAGCAGCAACGGTTTTGGATCAGATGAACAACAGTTGTGTCTCAATAAATGTTGGCCATTTATCCGCGGCTATTCGAGCTTGCTGGCAGGCAGAAGGAAGCCACCATAATGCGGCTAAATATCTGTTCAGCTTGCACAAGGAACTTGACCTTCAGCCTAATGTAATTACATTCGCATGTCTGGTCGGAGCTTATATGTCTGCTCCGCTGGAAGACATACTGGTCGCCTACGCTGACATGAAGGAATTAGGAATTTTGCCAGACACTGTTTTTGCTGAAATATTTCTGGTGACAGTTCTTCGCAAGCCCAAAGAGGATGCCTGGAAGGCGGAGGAGTTGCGTATTCAGCTACAAAACTGCTCGCCGGAACGTATCGCCGCTGCGAGACAAGCCATTGCGGACTTCAAGGCGGCAGGCGTTTCCCTAACGGACCTGAGTTCGAGGATCCATCGAGTCCTGCTGAAGCTGTAAACTATGGACGTGGCGCCGTGGATGCTTTTTGTTCCGCAGTGTTATCCGGTGGCTCGCAGAATTGGCTGCCAGACCACACGCCTTGCAGCGGGCTTACGTCTCAAAAGTACTGCGTCGCCAGCTGCCAGACTACGTAATTGTGTTGGGAAGGTTTGCTCATGGCACAACAGACCGGTCGCTGATTCGGCATCTGAACTCAGAAGCTCACGGACACCTACCCAAGCTTGCAGCTTGTGCCTGTGCAGGACGTCTATTTCCAGAAGCAAAATCTGCCGATGGAGTATCAGGTGCGTCGGCCCGAACTCTCTTCGGGGGAAGACTTCCGGGTTCGTGGAAAACTTGGAGCTTAGGGTTCAGCGGTTGGAAGATGTGGGATCGTTGCAGGTACCTGGGCGGTTCGGTCCTATGTCGTGTTGGTGTGGAGGCTGTTGTGACCTTCCGTTCCGGGTGGGTGCAGGGTATATACTTCAGTCGTCTGTCCTAGAGGGAGTTTGGCAGTACAGCTCCAAGCCAAGCTAAGCTCCTACACGACTGTCAAGATTATAACGAGAAGCTTTTTCTCTGCATACTCCAGCTTCGCTGAAGGTACACTTCACACCAGTTCATACCACACAACACCCGGTCATAGAGAAAAGGCATTGTCCAAAAAGGTGGTGCATAATCAGGCTTTGGGACCAGCCAGGTGCCAGTGGATAATAATGAATCTTGGCTAGTTGCCAACCCATCGGTGCAGGAACACAGCCCTGATTAGGAAGTGATCCCCTGGTTCGTGAGTCTAACTCCGTTGTGTGAAGGAGTCGACAGCCATGGATGGTGCGCAGGCATCGACCGGCAACCGTTAGCTGCGTATCATAAGGCAATGACTGTCTGAAAGGTCTGCGGGTTTCCGCAATAACAGGCTGAAAGCATTGAGACCGCACCCACAACCAACCACCCAACTACTGCGGCTTGCACGGGCTTTTAAGTTTAGTGTTTGCTGCTCACGGCTTAGGACTTAATACCTTTCAGGCAGGAGGCTAGATTAAACATCTCAGGGCTGCAGTAGAAGAATGCTTTAGAGCATCCCGAGCCCAAAGCAACCAGGGTATCCTGTACAGGAATGATTTGTGAAGAGGAACTCCTAATTGGTTTCTTCCTACCTTACTGTCATGTCCTTTGTTCCCCTAACCCTAATGAGGACGGTCTGAAGTTCAATTCTGCTACTATCCCTGCAAGGAACAGCGAGCAACATCTTCTTTCCAGCCACTTTCATAGTCGGCCTCGGGGGGTTTAGAGCTTTAGGAAGGCCCTTCGGTAGGTGTAGATCGATGCGAGGATTCTAAGACCTTGAGTCTTTATTCTTTAGGCCGCTTTATGTGGATCTTAATATGTTGGTGTTATGGGGCCGGGGGTTCTGAAAAGAATTCATAGTGGCCACGGAATGCACTGTAAGTAAGCCTCCGACACTAATCAGCCACATTTCGCTGCCCAGAAATCAAACAACAACTCATCCGAGCCTGTGAGGCCGAAGTTGGCGCTGCACCCCACTCATACACTTTTAATTCATACTCAGACACCCTCGGCTGAATCACCAGAAGCCAATCAGGCCCGTCAGCAAACGCTAGACCCGAAGGCCTCAACGTTAATGCATGAAACCGCAACCTAGTCCCTGAACCTAAACCCAACTCAAACCAAGCCCAAGATCCCAAATCCACATCCCCGAGTTCCAAGTCCTACGAACCCTGTGCACTCGCAAGTCATGTATCGGTTTAGGGTTCGGGGCCCTATAGCCCTCCCTCTGATCTCCTAGACCTTGAAATCCCGCATGGAGCGATCCTAAACCCTATACCCTACCTCAACCCTAAGGTCCTACACCCCTACACCCGGAACCCAACGTCAGCTTCCTGGCAGTTCCAATTTAGCGTCGTCATGTCCCCTGCGCAGAAGCCCCAGGCTCAGGTGCGGCTCTGAATGCACTTGGAAATCGTATGGAGTTGTATGTACATACAGTATGTATACATATATATATATATATACATATATGTATATGTGTATAATCTACAAAACTACTATCCAAATCCTGAATCTAACTACCTAGTGAGTAGGTCCGGTCCTTCGGATCCTTAGGGCATCTTTTGGTATTGTGGTGTTTGATTGTTGTCGGGTGTGCGGCAGTGGGTGGACAAGAGAGTTGCAGCAAGCTAGTCCTTCATCACGGGACAGGGATATCATTTTGAGGTCGGCTCTATCTTGATCACTTGAGACATGAGGCTAGATGTTTTGAAATTCGGGGCTTCACTTTAATTTACTTGTCTGCACGGTTTGGGGGTTTGTTTCGGGGGATTCGTGGTCTCCCGCTGGAGGCTTTTGTTTTGTTTTGAAGTTGCAGGCCCTCCCAACATTCGAGTCAAGCATGGCAATCGAGTCAAGGATTGAGTAGACTTCGAAGGCATGCCCCATCAGCTCCACAACACAAGCGCTACAATTTTTTGAGTACGATTTTGGGTCTTATCTTGTGGAGCTGATGGGATCATACCCTCTTCGGAGTCCGAAGGTTTGATGTAGGGCTTCTTTCGCTTAGTGAATTGAAACGGTGTACGATTCCAGGGTTTAGGCAGGCTAAGGGCCTCAAAGGGGCGCACCACAGGCCATGAATGCAATCGCTTTTACCGTACAAGGACCCCCGCAGAAGAAAGCCCGCCACTCTGCTGACTGCTGCGCCTCAAACCCTGATCCCCTAAACCCTAAACCCGACTTTTTGTTGGTTGCTTCTACAGTTTAAACTCGATGGGGTGAGTTTCTGCGGGAGAAAGGGTACACTTAAAACAAAAAATAAAAAATAAAACTAAACCCTAAGTTACCCTAAATACGCTAAACCTCGACCCTTCAAGACCGGGCCAGGACATGGAACTCATAGCAATGCCTGGCCCCAACGGGGCCATGCCTGGCAAGGGTGGCTTCGCTGGCGTCAAGAGGCCCAATCCGTCACTGTCGTCGATGTAAACTAAATGCCCCCACTTCGATTCAGGATTGTCATAAGCTCAGGCATACAGTATATGTAACATGTATACACATATACATATATATATATATACACATACACACACACACTCACGGTTAGGGTGGTCATTATCCACTGGTTGTCCGCACGAAGCTTGTGCAGTCGTGCTATTTCGGTTGAATCGAAGGACAACATCCTGCATCTTGCAGTACCCTAAACTAACGGGCAGGGAGTGACTAGAGTTATTATCTCGACTACACATCAGCAATTTTCCTTCAATTGACAAAAACAGGAAAAGATACTTCAATGCACTGTTCGTTACACCACTCTAACATGGATCTTGGGACCAGACAGGACAGGACAGTGGAAATTGGTTTGAGGCTGATTCAACCCAAAACTCTCAGACTCCAAGTATACAAATAGTACTTACTTGGGAGTTTGAGTCGAAAGTCCATAAATAGTACCTACTTTGGGCTGTTTGGAGTCTTTGGGAAATAGCAGCCCGCAACCCCCGATGTAGGAAGCCGAACGCCCCCAGAGTGCGGCGTGGTGTCCGCTTATCGTCCCAGTACCCTAAACCCTAAACCAGAGATCCCGAAACCCTAGTCCTTCAGCCTGAGCCCGACACGCTGGAAGAAGTGTCCGAGGGTTCAGCGTTCAGGGTTAAGGACACCATGTGGAACAAGGCAAGCTTACAGCTTGCTCATGTACACCATGACTAATGGAACAAGGTGCCTTAGTAAAGGGGTCTGAATAAGTACGAACAGTAGTACTGCTCCGGGCTCCTTATATATAGTACCTATAGTAGAATATACCCCAAAGCATTATTCTAGTTATTGAGGCCGCCATATCGCTGAAAAGGACGCATGGAAACGAAAACACACACCGGAACCCATGATCCCGGAATCTCGAGAATGTCGGCTGCTGCTCTGCGTCTGCTCATGGCATGTATAGAAGGCCATGGTATTTTGTGTAAGGGCTTCAGGGCTTCTAGTCATGATTCAATTTAGCATATCATCCAGAACCCTAGCCAGACCCTACACCTGAAAACCCAGAACCCTCACGCCCCTAAACCCCTAAACCCCAAACCCTAACGTTCCCAAATCCTAAATGGCATAAATCCCAAAATCCTGTAATCCCCTGAATCAGCTAAGCCGTCCTTACCGAAGCTGTTGGGGCAAGGCCAGCGCCTACACAGGTGCCAGCGAGACCTTCAGGCCTTTCAGGTGCACGAGCCGTTCGATTTGGAGCATGCGGGGTTTTGGGGTTCAGGGTTTAGGGCTTAGGGGTTTAGGGTGCAGGGCTTAGGGGGCTTAGGGCCTAGGGGGTTTAGGGTGTAGGGATGGTTAGGGATGTAGGTGTTTAGGGGTTTAGGCCCAGGCTTTGATTAGGAAATCGTCATATGGCACCAAAGCACCACAAGTAAGTAATATAAATAAATAAATATATATATATATATATATATATTCATATATATATATATATGTTGAACTAAGTAGAGAGATTCGTGTTCAGTCTAGTCTATTCCTTAATGAAGGGTCGAGATTGTAGGAGCAGAAGCAGCTTGTGCCATGGCATAAAATTCCTTTAGGCTGCAGCGGCTCTGGAGTGGTTGCTTACCCTGAGGGTCCATGTACACAAATAGTATATACATTGGCCCCAAAGTACTTATATAGGGACTACTTTAAGGCCCAAGTATATCTATTTGGGCACATGGATTAGGGTTATGCAAATCGGGGAAGCACAGGAAGAGCGTTGCTCTTCAATGAGAACCACGCAACGAAAGCCCGAAACTTAACTTGGCAGAGAGGTTCAACCGAATCATTCAAAATTCGAAGCTACGTACCTTGCTCGTTATAGCTAAGGGGTGTACTGCAAGCATTAACCCTATAGCAGGAGATATACATGCATGCATGCATGTATACATACATACATACATACATACATACATACATACATACATACACATGCATCTATGCATGCAGGCAAGCATACATATACATGTGCACATATACGTACACATATGCATGTGTATGTATGTGTATATACATATATATATATATATATATACATATACATATGTAGCTCGGAGAATGCCTTCCTCCCCAGCTTGCATTCCAGTACCGTCGGCAATGCCTGTGATGGCGAATCCGATGGTGAAGAGGCTAGACTCCTGATGTGGGGGGGGGATTGATGTTTCAGATTCGGCAGACGGTAGGTAGGAGTCCTGCTGGCTCCATCTAGCTGTGATGTAGGATACCCCCAGGCTCAACTATAAACGTCACCTGTACTTATATAGGGAAAAGGAGCTTGGTCACAGTTGAGGTTGTCTGCCCTGAGCCTTGAACCCTCAACTCCAACGGTACAGCTTCACGCATTCGTGTGGGGGGGTCGAAGTCTGATACTGCGCTTAGAGAGCCTCGCACGGTAGGTGCACGGTGCATGATGGGCTGAGGACCTTGCATTTGGCTCAACAGATGTAGGGTGCTTAGGATGCTTGGGTTGTGACATAGTTCCGGGTTCAGTCTAGAGGCCTACACCCTGAACCCTAAACAACAAGAATCGTGAGCCCTGAACATTATCAGCCTTAAGCCCGCAACCTGAAACCAGTCCAAAAAAAGGCCACCACAAAGCCTGAAGCCTTGTGCTGTCAACCGCTTACGGAATCTAAGGGCTCGGGAGCTTTGGACTTCAAACCCTGACGGCCGTACTCCCCGAATCAAATCCTACCTGGGGATCAAAAGACCTATTGTTTCAAGAACTATACCGAAACACCGACCCAATAGTTTAGGGGGTCATGGCCTACGATCTTGTAGGGTTTCGGGCCACCGGACAATCCTAAGTCCTAAAACCCTATACACTAAGCCCCCTACTGGCACCTCAGTCTGACGACGTCTGCAGACCTACCTAGCCCTAGTACCTAGCCCTCGTCGTCCAAGTACCGAACAAGCATATATTCGCCCAAAAACCTATACTACAAACCGAATTATTAGCTCCTGCGCGCCTTGAAAGTCCCCTAAACCCCTGAATTCCAATCTCTAATGAGGACTTAGTCAAAGAGCTACCCGATGAGGCCAAGACCCATGCCGACCACCGCCGCTCCGGAGCCAAGTTTTGGGGCGCCGAGCTTACTGAACATAGGGTTTAGGTTTAGGGTCTTCGCTGTTGAGTCACACCTTCTTGGTTCTCTTGCATGTGTGTTTTCAGGTGCAGTCGCCGAGAGGTTACTCAAAGTTGGACTTGTCTTAGGGTTCAATGGACTTTTCGATTCGGGTTAGGGTTTAGGGTTTAGGGCATGCTGTCAGGAGGGCTGAAAACTCTGGTTGTCCAAAGGGTCCAAGTACTAGTATAGTAGGTGCTTAGTAGGTATTTGGGCCCCAAAAGTATATACTATACTAGTACTTGGACCCTGTGGGTTAAGTCTACATTTCGGCATCGATTTGCTGTTCATGGTTGAGTCTGGAAGCAAGGATCTAAACTCATGGGGGTTTATCAGTCGTATTTAGGGTTTAGGGGTTTCGGGTTTAGGGTTCAGGGTCAATAGGTTTCGGGGTGGGTCTGGCGTTCGTGGGTGTAGAGGCCTGCAGATGCAGAATATTGCCTAACATCGTCTCCATTGTAGTTTCTTCTTGGGGTCCCCAAGCCTTTCATAGGATCTTAAAGACATTCGTTGAAACCAAGCAAAGGAACTACAATGGAGACTATAAACTATAGGTATGCCCTTGGCATTTGATGAAATGACCAGCCTCCTCGAAGAAGTGCTGGGCTTATCATCTGCGCCGCACCCTTGATAGGCTTATGGCTTCCAGAACTCGGTGCAGCAGCTCATGCGCGGCATCCCAGTCGGTCTGCGATTAGGGTTTAGGGTTTAGGGTTTCGAAGCCTCCAGAACTAGTAGAGCAGCGATCCGATGCCCAACTGCCTCGTGTTGAGCCCATGGTGTGTATATACGCGTGCTTCAATTCTTTGGGCGCAAGTTTCGCTGTTTTTGGTGTGTCCTGCTGTGTTGAATCGAAGGCTCCGAGGTCTACATTGAACATAGACAAACCTGTTCGAGGATTTAGGCCAGCCACGCCGCCTTGTCCCAGCCCTTTCCCTGGCCCTTTGCAAGGTGTTTGGATCGGATTTAGGATTTCGGGCCTCTCCATGCGTTTCCTGTCCTGGGTGTCATGTTAAAGTTAGCATTCTGATCGCGCAAAGGTGACCCAGAAACAGGAACCATCTGAAGGTGCTCAGGTATTTCGGGCGTACTGGGGTAAGGATTTCTCGCCTTGCGGCGCTCGGCGTGGGCGGGTGCAAGGTCGGAGCTGAGAGCGAGTCTCATGCTATGCAATGCGGGTACATTTGTTTGGAAATCGTTCTTCTTGTTGCCACTATCTGGTGGCACAGCGAAACAAACAATATCATGTTTACGGGCAGCACTCCCGATCACCTGATGCCTTCAGAAACAAGTGCCTCTCACCGCTGGTCTGTATACATGCAGAAGGCACGGGGAATACTTAGACGTTTCTCGTTTCGTATTTATACCTCGTGTCAGGCACCTGCACTTTGCACTGTTGAAAACCATGGGGGCTGAGTAGGTAACCTTTAACCTTTCGGGGCTATATAATTTAATCCTGCTATACGACAAAGGGTTAAGCCTTTTTTGGGCTAGGGCACTCAACCCCTAAGAAACAGTTTTTCCCAAAACACATATCCTAAACCCTATAAACCCTAAACCCTAAACCCCCTAAACCCTAAACCCTACACCCCTAATCCGTTCAACTCAGAAACCGAACATGGTCCCAGGGCGGCAGCCGGTCTGCAGCCGACATTAGGTGCGGCGCCAGCAGTGTCAGACAAGTAGCTGAAGATGCTCTTGATAGCAATGCCTGGACCCCAAAAGTATGTAGAATCATAGCCGTTTAGAGGTTTTGGGCCATGATTTTAC